ATCCACTCATCATCGTCATCATCAGCTCCACTTCCCCGTTTGGAGATTGGGGCCAGCAAAGAAAAGTGGAAATCACTTATTGGCCTTCCCATGGCTCCTTCCATTGATGCCAAAGCAAAAAAATATGCTAACAATTATTCGCCAGGAAATAAAACCATTTACACACTGTTTGCCTTCAAGTACAATACAGTAATATATTTTAGACATATATATTTAGTGAAGCACCAACCCTAAGTCCGCATTTATAAAAGGTTCCAACTTTTTAAAATTGTGGAAGGCACTGTTGTACAGTCGTGTTATTTTTGGAAGCAATAGGTCTAAAGTAAAACTGAGGGGAATTTTTGTTGTGATGCTGATCACCCTCAAGCTGCCTCAAGAAAAAGACACATCCGACCACCTTCGACACTTCCGCAGTTCACTCTTCGTCGAGTGCTGACTCGATGAAGGTGATTCTCCAACCTGTTGTGAGCCACAAACTCTTTTCACACAAGACCTTACGATCGACAATTCCTGCGAAGAAAGTGATGCCAGCAGCAATGAACGAAATTCTTTAACATTCTCCACCTTTCGGTACATGGTTCACACAGTTTCGCTGGTAAACCATCGCCAAACTTAATTTCTTACCCAGTTAAAAACTCAAGCACTTTTAAAATTTCCGGCTCTTTGCTGCTTTCCTCGCCGAAAATATCAACTGGGGTTTCTAAAAAAAACCGTTTTGTTGCAACAACGGCAACTGTTGAGCCGTGAGTTAAACCATATGGCCCAAATCCTTCATGTTCTCCATTTTAAAAACCGCTCAACACCGCTGGGCACAGCTGTTTCATATTTTTGTGCCAGCAATCAGCTCGAACATTCTGACTTCCGTTTAAGATTTCTTTGTTTTCAAACAGCCAATCAAACAAAATTTGAATTAATTCGAAAAACCTATGTCCCCATAGCCCTTCGATTCTCGTGCCAAGGTCCTGCCAGCTAAGAGGGGCGAAAAGGGCTATGGGGACAAGAATGGTTACTATGGTAGCCGGATCTCGTACCCAGATCCTGCTCTTAAGCCACATGTGTGACATTGTGACATCACAAACCTGTAAGGTGGATGAGCGCAAGCGTGTCGAGCAGGAAGACATCGAGGAAAAGGCYATCTCGTTCCCAGAGTCTTCATTCCCCTTGACCAGCGGTCAGAAAATGAGAGCTCTGGGAGCCACCATTTTGAAATAACCGAATTCTGGTGATTCTGCCCATCCGGTTTCACCATGCAGTCTGCATCTATGGCGCATGCCTGAAATGGTTGCTCCCAGAGCTCTCGTTTTCTGACCACTGGTCAAGGGGAACGAAGACTCTGGGAATGAGATTGAGAAAATGGTGGGTATTTTCACATTCTGAATGGTATTCTAGCTAAAACAAGAAATCTAATTTCAAAGAAAGGTTTTCTGGTCGTATTGTGGATTCTTAGACGGTGGCGAATGGAATGGTCTTTTCGAGAATGACTTTGTAGCATTCTTCATGTGAACCAGGACTTTCTTTAATGTATATCTCTAAAGAAAAACGAGGGCGACTTGACAGGCTTTAATCATATTAAGGTCAGGCCTTCGTGACTCCTGCAGTTCTCGAAGTAATTTCTTATTAGGCGCTCAGCTCTTCATGGATACTCTTGAGATTGTGTTTCCATACATCCTGGGCTCGGCATTGTCGATTCGCCACCGCCTAAGAATCCACGATATGACCAGGAAGCCTTTCTTTGAAATTACATTTCTCGTTTTAGCTAGAATGCCATTCAAAATGTGAAAAATACTCACCATTTTCTTGATGTCTTCGTGGTCATCGTCGACACCCTTGCACTCATCCATCTTTCAGGTTTGAGATGTAACAATGTCACACATGCGGATCTGGGTACGAGATCAGGCTCTCATAGTAAAGTGCCAGAGATCAAGGCTGGTTTTTTTTTTAACTTTTTCATTTATTTACTTGTTATTTTACTCGTTTCGGTCGATTTGCTCGTTTTGGCGGTTTTGTTTTGCTCGTTCGGTGGTTTCGTTTCGCTCGTTTCGATGGTTTCAGTGGTTTTGTTTCGGTCGTTTCGTTGTTTCGG